TATCCAGCTAATTTGTATACTGAGGAGCATCAAAACATTTCATATATGTTACGCACTTAACTCAAGCATTATGCTTGGGGGAGGGGAAGTACAGCTGGGCACATTTTATATATATTTGTGCCCAGCTGTACTTAACATCGTAGACAACGTGACTCCTGGTTCCTAGCACCACCATTCTAAACAAATCCACGCAAGTTTGTCTACAGTGGACCATTTCACATCAAACCACTCTCAATGACTGATTTACGTAGAAATAAAAAAGAGTAATTCCCCTTTTACTTATTTCAGTGAGACTGAATGGTATACAGCGGTAAGTCAGGGTTGGACAGACAAAGTTATAACACACACACACAGAGTGGTCACAGTGCTGCTTGTCCCTCACTGGACAGTGACAATGACACGACATTTGAAAGGAAAACACGGGTTGCCTCGGCTAAAACGCATGCAGGGATCCAGCGTGACAAAACGGCCACTTACTGTCTGACGAGTGTTAAACCAAACGTGATCATAATAAAACTAGAGCGGCGGCGGCGGAGCTAAACGACCGTCCGACTCTTCCTGGTTCATGTGGCAGAGTGCCGCAGCTCGCTGACGTCATCTAGCGGATTTCCCGGGCTTCTAGTGAATCGCCCGCCATCGTGTGGTGAAATAATAGTCTCTCACGTGGAAATAAAATGGCTAAAGGGGATATTTCTGAGTTTAGATGTAAGATAATGCACGGGGGAGAGAAAAATAAAAGGAAAATATGTGAAAAACAGGAGTTCAAAAATCATTGAAAGCTGCGGGCTCCTAACAACTGTGGCCACCAAACCTGCCAACATCAGATAAACATACTTAAAGTTTTCATCTCTAAGAAAAACTCCAGGTCCACTCTTGCAAATCCTTCCACTGTGAGAAGACAACTCAGCACTGTAGGTCTGAAAGAATGTGAAGTTGTAAATAACTCACGTTGTAATCTGTATGGATGACTGCCGTATTCTAAACATGATAACAGCATAAAAAGCACATGTATGTATTTTAGTCTCATTGTAAGCTTCTGTACAGCAGCAGACAGCGTATCAGACTGTTCAGGTCAAGGTTTCTCAGCCCTGGTCCCGGAGGCCCGCCGTCCTGCACATTTAGTGTTTTTCCTGCTTCAACACTGCCACTTTAACTCAATAATGAGCTAACTGGTTGGATCAGGTGTGCTGGGAGCAGAGAAACACTGTTTTAGTGGCCCAGATGTGTTCAGTATGGTCCCTTAATTTAGAAACGCCCACCAGTGTCGAGCAGAGATCCGGTGCGGCAGAAACCGGCAGAGCTTTTTTATTGACACTGAAAAAAGTAATGATTTTCATTTAATCGCTGTTTTGACTGGAAATTCAATAAATGAAATGGTCTATGACTTTTGCACAGTGCTGCATTTGTAATATTTACATGTACATTAGTCGTTAGCAGACACTCTTATCTAGAGTGACTTACAGGGGCAGAGCCAGGAGTGGCCAGTGCCACCGTCCCGTTAAGCTTGGCCACGCCTCTGGCCACCCCAATTAAACAAAGTGAGTCTGCCCCTTTTGAATAGCGCCCTTTTTGGTGAGTTTTAAATGCTTAATATGCCGCTGTGCAAAACCTGTGTCAACCTAAAATTGTCCCCGGAAGGAAGTACAAGTTGGTTGCGTCCGTCCCGTCAAATGACTTCCAAATAGCAACCTGATCCACAGAGTGCATCCGACTCCGGCCTGATCGCGCTCATTCCAGAACTGTTTTTGCTTGTAGTTGACGTCACACGACAGCGTCAGCGCCGACTTCAAAACACTCAGGCTGCGTCCCAAACCCAAAATTACAGCACTAAAGAGACTGTAAAGAAATAGTGCACCACTATTAATCCATACTATCCAGTAGTGCAGCGCGTGGTTACGTTTCACCGATCGCGAGTCTGTGAGATATGGCAAATGTAATCACATTTACATTATATAACGGGTTTATTCGTGAACGTGTTTTTTTTAGACAGTTTACATATGATCCCATGTGAAATGCAGGTGATTTTTCTGAGTGAGTCGAAGCTTGATATATTTAAATAGCTGCTTGTGTTTTACGTGAACAAAATACCTAGATTAAGTACAGTGGATTAAAAATAAATATACCAGCATTTTAATTTATTATCAATACAGGAATATTGTAGCAAAATAATGAAAAGATATCAAATTTATATCTCACTGTTTTAAGATGTAGGAAATGAGTGTCGGAACGGCAATGCAATTTCAGCTGTTCACCGCTAGATGACGGCATTACAGCGTGAGTGAATGAGGGACGTACAGTTACTGAGGTGTACAATAGTACTTCAATAATAATACTAATACTACCACTACCGATACTACTACTACTACTACTACTACTACTACTACTACTACTACTAATAATAATAATGATAATAATAATAAAGTGCAACAAAAGTTTTCTGTATTACACACAGTCACACGAAAAGCGTTTTGGTTTAAATTTATTGAACAGAGAAAATGTGGAATAAGCTTACTGAGGTACATACTCAGGTTTGAAGTACATACTCAGGTTTATAGTTGGAGTTTAAAAAAAAACACACACAAACTGGTTTCACACATATCTCTGTTTCTCGAATCTTTTCTTTGGTGTAAATTGCACCACATTGGTGTAGTTAATCTTTGCAATAAATTCAGGTAAGAAAACAAACAAAACAACAAATATATATTTGTAATATATTGCCCCTGTCTCACATTTAGCACCTGGGGTGGACTGAAATGTGGACAGTCCTCATGGCTAGGTGTGTATTTTCAGTGATGGTTGTGTAAAAAGCCCTCTTGTCAGTGGAGAGCAAACCAAGGAGGGAGCAAGGTGTGACACCCACCGACCACTGAACAGCAAAGGAACTCTACAACATGCCTCTGCTTCTTCTTCCTTCTCCAAACCGCCTGCTTGAGCTCCCTGATAAACAAATGAGGTGAGGTATTGAAGCAGCAAGCATCCATGTTTGTGTTACAGACCTTGCAAAAGAGCAATGCATAGGAAAAACGTAACAGCAACAGCTGGAAAGAGAACAGACAAATGAACAGCTGGAAAGAAAATAGCATTTATACTAGCTACATGATGCACATGCCAGCAGATCTGCTTCATTTTCAAACCCTAACAGGCTAAGAAACAAAAACTAGGATACAAAAATAATTTGGATGTAGCAGCACACGTAAAGTGGAATGTAGGTAGACAACGCAATTTGTGTAAGACTGGACAAAGAGTAGCTCTTTTTTTTTAGCAGCATAAGGATAAACGTTCAGATAGACTAATAAAAAATAAAATAACAATAAAAAAGGAAAGGCAATGTAAATTTGATATAGCCTCAAAAGAATGTTAGCCCATGCACACTGCAATATTTTGACATAGACTGAACATAAGATTTATACTTCCGTTCAAAAGTTTGGAATCAACGTTTTCAAAAAGTTTGTGCATGTGTGTTTAAAATAAGTCTAATATGTTAGTCCAGTACAAATCCACAGATTTCAAATGATTAGCCGGACCCTAGGTAGCTGTAAATAAGAATCCAGAACAGAGCTGTAGATGATTGAACAATGACTGAGAAAGCTGGAAAACACAGAAAATAGAGTTATAATAAAACAAAAGTAGAGATCAACTCTCAAGACAGATAACTGAATATCAATAGATCATTACAGTATATGATTTATCATTTAACAATGTCTCATTTGACTGAATTCTTGAAATATTGAAAAAAAATCTAAATTAGCTTTTGTTGTAATATTTCAATCCACAATGTATAAGTTATTATTGTATATAAAATGACAAAAAGGTTAACAAGGCAAGTGATTCCAAACTTTTGAACGGTCCATTTTGGAGTATATCAGCAATATATTCCATGTTCATGGGAGGATAGTCCATCATTCCTGAAATTACAAATTAGGACACATGTTGCTTGCATAATGCACTTGAAGTGCTACAGCTAGTTCCAGCTGTATAGTAAATTAGAAACTTTTGCACAAGAATTTTTCACTGTTTAAAGGCCATTACTGAAGACTCATGGTTGCAGTGGTATGCTGATACTGCTCAGCCTTTATAAAACTTTGCCAAAGATCTCTTAAAATAGAAGACATTGCAACATTACAATTTGAACTTCTTTTGTTTGCTGTGAAGCAGGAAGAGTAAAGTTCAAGTATATAATGTCAAAATCTTGACAATAATATGCTGATATGATGAGACAATAAAAAAAGCACACACATAAACAAAAGTCTAATAGCAAAATTGGACAACGTCCTATCTAAACTTGCACGTTGCGAATCCTTGCCAAAAGATTTCAGCACAACTTTCCAGTAGCTACGACTGAGAAGCCACCGTCTAATTCTGAACCTCTTTCAGCTTCTTTTGGTTTCTGCTTACCAAGAAAACTTGCAAGTATACCTAACATGATGGGAAACCAGCCCCAAAAATAACTTAGATATAAATGAACTAATTGGAAAAAATAGTCTCTAAATATTCCTCCTGCGCACCACAATAGTCATGGCTTAATTGGAAGTGAGTTTTAAAAGTGCACTCTTGTTTGTTTTTTCTATGCGGATATCTTTAAAGGGGGAAGTCCACTGAATTTTTCCAGGATTTCTGCATAATTAAATGGTTAAGTGGTAAACAAAGTTATTCTGAGTGGTTCTAAAATGTAGAGAAATTTATCGAGTCAGAATTGTTCACAGTGGTGGGGATAGGAACCAGATGTCTGAAGATTTTAATGCTTCTAAAAGCTACATCACAAAGTTATTATATAAAATAGTTACAAATATGCTCTCGGATGCCCGAGATCTTGTTTTGTGACAGTTTTTAGAAAAGAATTTGCGTAAAACTTTTAAAATCCAATCATGGTAGAGGTACATGCAGGTTGTTAAATAGTCCCCAAAGAAAAATACATTTCTCAGATTTACCACTATTTTACTATCATCAACATTACATATTAAAACACAGAGGATACGTGTAGGTTTGGATAGTAAATGAAATGGCTATATTTGCATTAGACATCACAAACCCTGGTTCCTATCACCACCGCTGTAAAGAAATCTGAGTTGGTGAGTCTCTCTACAATGAACTATTTCGCACCATCCACTCGGAATTACATCTCAAACATTGTATTAATGCAGCAATTTTGACAAATCTGTGGAATTCCCCTTTACACTAATATAAGGTAAGGTTCATTAGTCCAGCACACACTGAATCTCAGAGGGCTCTCACACTCCAATCCTGAAGGGTGGCAGCACTCCTGTTTACTGTCCCTGCTCTAAGCCAGATCATTAAATCAATAATCAGCTGATAATTAACTTAAGCCCTTACCCCATGGTGGCTCCTTTTAAACGTGAACACTGCTATAGGTTAGTTACACAACAACAGCACTAACGATTGATTATTGAAAACCCACCTTCTACACCACTGTTTCTTATTCCATCCTGATCTCACATTCATAGACCTGCCTTTTTCATCTCTTTTTCATTCATCCACTTCCTCTCCTCCTGCTCTACGTTACCAAAGCTCTCTCTACTTACAAGAGTCCTACAGAAGCTCAATCCTGATCCAAACTCCAATTCTCTGTCCCTGTCCTCTTACATCTAGAGAACCGTTCAAGTAAATAATTCTCAATTCCACTTAAATGCTGACAGAAATCAGCCTAGTAACAGCAAAGTTGAGCCTTAAGGATTTCTGCAATAAGGCAGAACTAGCGCTTGTCAAGCAAAGAACAGCTAACTAGTTGTTATCTCACAGCCTGTTCTTGTTCACCATTACAGAAGCACATACCTCTCTACGCTGTCCTGTTTTCATAGAACATCTCAGAGAATCACTGCCACTGGGTTTAGTCTAATGACTAATCTGAGTGACAGCATGAATTCAAGCAGATTTACAGCTTTACTGTTTACTCAACTGCAGCCAGCATGAACAGCGTGCATTTTTTCAGAAAGCTTTGTAAATAGTCACAAATAAATCACTGTAACCCCAGTAAGTGTGATACTTCACATAACATAAATGGATTATGTAATAATAACAATAATAATAATAATAATATTAATAATAAAGAACCTTTATACCAGGACAATATTCTGTGTTGTCTATAAATACTCATGTATTATATATATATATAAATTTATATTCTTCTCCTGGTGGCAATTTTATTTAAATTTCAAGTATACCGTATGCAAGCCAAAGGCATCATTTATTTCTCCTTTGTTTGTAAAAAAAAAAAATGCGATGCCTGAAATATCTTTCAGTTCTTGTAGTTCTACACTGTTATTCGATACTTGACATCTATGCCTTTTCACAGACTATAATACACTGTAGTTTTTTAATTGAATTAAATAAGATAAGATGATTAAAATATATTTCAGCTTGCATTTACAGATTGAGGAATTCTGGCAGGTACAGGGTGGAAGTGACATCATAAGTTGATGTCACGCACATCTGTGGGTGTGCAGGACTGGCTCTGAGACTCTGCCTCCTTGCTGGTGACTCCGCCCTCCACGTGTTTATGCTGCTGACTCTCTCTGAGGCTGCTGGCCAGCAACTGCTCAATCTTCTCTTGACACGACTTCAGACAGTCCTACAATAAAGACATGAACGGAAAAAAGGTAAATACTGTTACAGACACACCCACACACACACACACACACACACACACACACACACACACACACACACAGTCCTTACTAGTCTTAAATGACCCATGATGAACATTCACTAGGGCTGGAAAATAATTTAAATAATTCAAATACTCAAGTCCAGAAGGACAGGCTGCACCAGCCAAGCACGTTCAAATGAGCCAAAGTCTTTCGCTCCACTCTCCACTCGTTTGGCTTTGACCAAGCTCAACTCGACCTGCCCTTACTGCTGCTGGGGCCAGGCAATATAATACAATTTATTGTTATCATACTTAAAGAACACTGACCAACTGCATTGAACCGTTTCATTACAAAACAAACATAATCAGTCCTGTTTAACTAGATTTATCGCACTAAAATATGTGAAATGTTGTATAAAAAAATCATTGTATTCATAGTATTTGACAGTATGTTTTAAAAATGAATAACTCATCAACTATAAAAACAAAATGTCATGACATATCTTGTAACATGAAAATTATTGTAAAAGTATTGCGTTATTGTATTTTTACGATATCGCCCACCCCTATCATTAACAATTTGTAAGTTTATAACAAGCTTTTTTCAATCATATTTCTCTCTCAGTTCTCTATAGGTAAATCTCTGTGTGGGAGTTCTGGTGAAATAATCCACCAGTGGGGCCCCTGTGCTTTCCCCCACCCTTCTCTCTCTCTAGCATTCTTGCGCTCAGACTGTAGTATTACTGTGCTTGCTTTGATGGCTGGGTCATGTCTGCATTCCCATGACAATAAAAAAAAAACCCTCAATGGCTTCAGCATGTTGTTGGTTCTTGGTTGCTATCAGCGACGGTTCAGCTCTCAGCATGGTGGTTCTTTCCAAAGCTAAAGGTGGAAAAATGTCCTATTTCTTCTTAAAGGAACACAACATGGAAAAGATGAGGATGGAGAGGGTGTGTGTGTGCGTGTATGTTGTGTGCAAACACTCTCCCCCCTGGCTGTGCAGCTTAACATTCTAGCATGCGTGTGTTCTGGTTGAGGGTGGTGAGCCATAAGCCATAGTCATGAGAAAAGAAGGCCTATGTCCCACCACAAGAATGCAAGTCAGAGCACACATTCTCTCTCACACACACACACTTCTCTGCAAAATGAACAAAATATGCAGGCACACACACTAAGATGCAATTTCGACAATTCTACACACAGCATCAGACACACAAGGCCACACACACAAACACACATACACATTTATAGCAGCCAAATGCAGCCACAGCCAAACCATAGAGGTTCTCTTCATGAAGCGTAAATAGCTTCAATATGCAACTAGTGGAAACACCAACATTCTCCAAAACACACTAACATCAGAGTTGTTTTTCACAGCGATCCAAATATTATGAAGTTTTCTGTTGTGACAAGACTTATATGCTGTAAGGAACTGGCTTTATATTTTTTTCTGGTTAGTAGTTTTAGACCAACAGGATGAACTGAGCAAGGCCAGACCTCAATAAACCCATCTAAAATGGAGACTGCTCAGAATAATATACCAAGAAGAAGTACATGTATACTGGCCCATACTTGCACTACTTCTGAATAATACATTTTCAAATGTACACCTCTGAGATGCTAAATTTTTGGTTGCGTTATGTTTTTTTTTGTCTGCTAACATCAGTGTACCCGTTTCCCTGTTTGTGTTATTACAAGTAAAAATTAACAATTATATTAATCAGCTGAAGCCCTCCTTCCTCATGGTTCACTGAATATCCATGCATTAACTTTTAGGAACTAGACCCATTGTGCCATGGATGATGCTCCATTCAAAACATTTATTCTCTGAGATCTCCCCCTGACTGTGATTGGTCCTAATCACCGCCTCGTTTGTTCTGATACTTCCACCTGAAGCAAAGCTGAAACATTTCTACTTACAAAAGCATATTTGGGGGGTTTTGTTTAGTTCTTTCATCATTACTGTATACTGTGTTTTAATCAGTGTGCAAAAAACAGCAAAATAACCTCCAGTCAAGGTCAAATAATACTTCAGTTCAATTCAATTTATTTATTAATCATATGTAGGTTAACACAGGGTCAACAGTACCATGAAATGTGTTGGATGAGAAAAACAGGTCAGCTCAGCACGGCAATATAAATAATTAAGTTAACTAATAAAATATAAGGTGGAATGAAATATAAATAGAATAGAGTCTTACACTATTAACATATATGAAACTTCTGCATCTGCAAATCTGCAAACATGTGAAGGTATTATGCGCAGACATTCACATGGGTGTCTGTCTACACACTTGCTGTGTAATGTCAATGTGTGTACTATGGGCTGTGTTGTACAAAAAAGAAAACAAAGAAGAAACCTAGAAGTTGCAATCTGTTCTCACCCCCGGGAAAAAGCTCACACTGCATGGTAGTAGGAACAGAATGGATAGGAGGAGCCAAATGTTGGTTGTGATAAAGAACATATTTTATCACATGATACTTAATGATTAATGTTTATTATTTAGTGACGTCACAACCTCTGTGCTACCAGATATATTTCCACTTTAATTACATACTTCATATACTTTCACAATCAGCAGAGGCTTGAAGCACAGCAAAGCGGATTTGCACATGTAGCTGGTATGACTATCCATAAACACCATGTCTCCATCTTTACATAAATGCACTAAAATGCATTGCTAGTATATAAATAAACCTTGAAAAGGCACATGTTGGCAGGGACAGTGTGACACACTCACCACTTCAATGTGGGTGATTTTGGCCAGCAGTTCGGTCAGACTGGTCCCCCAGACACTGCTCTGCATCCGGTCCAACTGGAGTCCGCAGGCTGCTGCACCAACACTCCCTGTGGCTATCATGGAGGGAGGAAACATTGCGAAGCTGTGATCTGAGGAGGAGAGATGGAGAAAGGACCGCAGAGAGCATAAGACAGACCACAAGAACATCTTTCACCTGCAAAGCAACAAGCTCCCTGCAGACACTAATAGCAACCAGGCTGTGTGTGAGGGAGGAGGGAAGGAAAGAGCTTAAGGGGAGCTAGATTTTTTTCCAGCACTTCTCACATCTGGTCTGAATTCGGTCCAAGCGCCGAGAACTTCAACCTGACTTTCACACACTCTCGTACTCTGGGCGGGAGTTGTGTTTCGGTGCTCGCTGCTTTCCCTCGGCGCGAGCCACAGCTGCTATTAGAAAAACAGAGAACGAAGCCTTCGTCCTCCTTCCTCCTCCTCCACCCTGTCGCATTCTTGGAAGGTTTCGGAGCTTACAGGAACGACTCCCCTTAGCCCATCATCTGCCCAGGGCTCACAGACGGGAACATTTAAAAGGACAAGTTGGCTTATCGCTTTTCCCTCCACAGAAGCTAAACCCTAAGTCCTTACCGTAAACCCCTTACTCAAATACTATCTGATGTCCCAATCACTTCCTTTATCCCCTTAACCATAACCCTCACCACAGAAATATTCAGTTATTATTCAGTAACTACTATAAATTGTTCATTAACCACTATCTAACAAATATGTATATAGTATACAGTTCCAAGAGTGAGGAATTGAACTGTGCAATCACATACAGGCCCTTAGGGATTAAGGGGTTCATTTTTACTCAAATGATCTATCCATGCTCTGCCCACAAATGTGTTCCTTCGTAGCAGACAGAACTTCAAGCATCCATGACTTTGTACTTTATGGAGACCTTGTGTGGCTCACTTTTCCAGTGGGATCTACTTGTCCCTCTATTTGTCTCTTTGACGCTTGACTCAATAGCTTGACTTTACCGACGTAGCTCAAGGCAACATACTCTAATTCTTTCTGTTTTTGCTGTCAGTTAACAACAGGCAAGTAAAACATGAAAAATGTTGACAAATACCTTATAGCAACTTAAGCCGCTCTACATAGCTTGTGGTGTGGCTTATGGTGTTTCTTTAGCTAGTTAGCAGTTGACAACACTGGACCATCTGTTTAATGTTCACCCCTAAAACCTTTCTTTGGATCACAAAAAAAACCTACACTTGTTCTTAGCTGTGCGCAACAATTTCTCACTGGGCTGAATGGAATTTTTGCTTGTGCTGTGTAAAGTTTCTCCAACCTAGCAAAAGTTGCTGTGAAAGAACATATTTGTGGACAGAGCATCTGGACAGGTCAATTCAACTTTATTTTCTGTAGTGTTTCTCTTTACTACTATGGCTGTGCAGAAGTCTATGTCCAGATCCATACTGAGCAAAAAAATGCATGAGAAGGCAAGAGGCAGAAAACTTGAAAGCTAGAAAGTAGAAATGAAATCCATCCCTAAGACATCTCTGGATATCTTACCTTAGCTGTGGTGAGATACAAACAAAAAGCCTTTGTAAGCCAAACAGAAATCAAACTATGAAAACCCCATTCTCCTCTATACAAATCTGCACTGCATCAGCCTGCCTATAGCCTAAAGAGGAAATGACAGTATGCTGCCCTGGAAGACTTTCATTAGCGACTCTCCCCGCTGGAGCGGCTGTGTTTCTTTTTTCAGATGCAGTGGAGGATGCGACGGACAGGCTTGGATAAACACACAGGGAGTAGACCAGCTGTGCAGTGGGCCGCCTCTCATGCCATGAGAACTACATATCCAAACACGAAAAGAAAACCCCAAACATTTACATTTACTCCCAAAACCAGCGGCGGGCTCTTTGCTGTGGCCACCTCACGCTCGGTTTATGGGCCTTATGAATAGACACAGTGCTGCAGAAACACACCCAAAGGAGGAAAATATTCCCATCAAAGCAGAAATAAGATAAGAGAACGGCAGAGGACTACAGACTTGGTCACTCATCTTTGAAGACACTGCACACAGATGGTGAATTGTCATAATGTAAAGTGTTCTGTACCCAGACACAGTAAAAATCTAACTTTGCAGTTACTATAACATCTGTGCAGTTTTGCAGTCAAACCCAAACTGTGCAGTTGTCTTCATGCTACAAGACTGACGCTGAATAAGTAAGAGTCTATCTCCCGTGTAGCATGCTGCAAACTGGAAGTCTAATTTATGTAATTTATTACTCAATTCTCATCTTTCAGTAAGACAATCTATGAATAGAGAGTACTCCAGGTCTCTCACCAAAGAAGGATGGCATTTGAGAGTTAGTTTTGAGCAGTCAGACTTCCATCAATAGCAGACACCCTGACTTATAAGGTAGTAGTCAAGCTATGGAAGTCAAGCTATCCACCATTTCACACACTGATAATTAATAATATTCAACAATCCTGTAGGTCATGCAGCTATTGCTTTTTTACACAACAGGATGCAAGGATGGAAATGTGTTTAACATTTCACATTTAATATCAATGTTCATTTGCTTTATTCACAATTCATTGGCAAAAAAGATGCTACACTTCCAAAAACATTAAATGAGGTAAATATTCTACACATCCAGGTGAAGTTCTACCCATCAATGTATCAACGTGTGTTCATGTAATCATGCCTGTTGTACCTGTAGCACAAAGGGCGATGAAAGTTTGAGCATGTTTACGGATCAGCGCCAATCTGTCCTCAGGTAAAGATAGCTTGCGAAGTATATGCTCAATGAAGTCATGAGGGGTAACAGCTGCCATGTTCCACTTCAATTTCCCCAAAACCAACAGCTCCCATTCCTGCAGAGAGAGAGAGAGAGAGAGAGAGAGAGAGAGAGAGAGAGAGAGAGAGAGAGAACAGAAATAGAGAGAGAGAACAGAAATAGAGAAAGGGACAACAGAGAGATGGAAGAGAAAGAGAATATTCTTTAAAAACAACATTACCCACAATCCATCTACATATCCAAAGAGCAGGAATTCATAACATTCAATTACATCATTAACAAGACCACATCACCATGCTACAAGGAGGATTAGTGGACTGGATCCATATAGCCTGCATTTCTCCAGAGTTCAGAACATTCCAATACAAAAACTAATAAAAGTGCCTACCAAAGTAAATAGTGAACTCATACACATAGATAAAGCCGCTTATTTTTCGCCAGCTTCTCACTTCTCATAAATGGAGCTGCAGTTACACTGAGTGCCTCAAACGTGGAACGAATTACGAAAGTTGACGAACATGAAGCCAACATCAGCTTACCTCATTGAATGTATTCATTTGCCTCAATTAATGCATTAATTTACCTCAATAAATGATTCTTAATAAACAAATACCTCAAACTTTCACTTGGAGATGTTTAATGAGCAGCTAACGAGCAGCAGAGCTGCTGTTGAACGCATCTCGCTGTCTGATCTAATGCTGCGACTCAAACAACACACTTCAGTACTTCAGCTACCACACTAATGAGTGCACTTCTAATGGTCTATGTGCTATTTTTGTACACTATTTAGTGTGCTAGTATGCGTTTTGTGACAAGGCACTAGTAACGCAACAGGAAATCTCAGCCATTTAGATTTCAGTAAGGACAACAGCAACAAATCAAATAAAATCAAGGCAATACTTTCAAACATATCAGTTAATATGCTTTAAAATAAGGTTTTTTAAAAATTATTTACGGCCTTTGCTGGATCGGTTATGGCTTTATCTCATTACAAACAGCCACAGTGCTGCTGAATGAACCTGGTGTTACCTACCAAAATGGTGATGTCATCAAAATACTATCAATTTCATACAGGCTTCACAAAGACTTAATCTCAAATGGCTCTCTACCCCCTATATAGGGTACTAGGCAGGTCCTGAATTAATGGCATCTACACCCAAAAGGTCAGTGTGGGACCTTCATGGCCTTGTAAGCCCAATGATTTCTAGAAACCAAAACAATTATATATTTGTTATTTTAAACTCTTCAGTTATTGTAGCAATACTCATATTTCATGGTTTCAAGTTTTAGTTGCAAATCCATCATATCTAGATATATATAGTCAAGCTGACCGTGTACTTCAAAAGAAAAAAAACAAAAAGAACTAAAAAAAAATGTTTCTTTAAGAAATTTGAATGTAACGTACATGAATTATAGGCCAATGACTGCAAATTTGGGCTGTGGCATATTTCCGTGAGTTAGAAATTGCAGGAGCTCCATGCCAGAGCTCTCAACTGCAAACTGCAACATACAATGTAAAATATTTGTTAACATCTATTGTAAGCTTAATGTTAACCGTCAACTAATAAATTTTACTTAAGCTTATAAAGTAATGAAATGGCTCCTAAGATGGTACAGGGAATTCAAGTGGACAAAGTCATGTTAAAAAACAAGTGGCTAATCAAGGCAAATTCAACCAACATCTACCACTAATGACGAAAACTCAAAGCAAGCAAATGAGGAACTCCGTCACCATGACATCATTCATCATAAACCTCCTCATTTTAAGCGTGACCCCCACCCCCCTGCGCTCGCTTCCTTCCTGGGTTGCTGCAGTGGCATTCTGAGAAACTGTCTGCAGCTGATGTGCAAAGAGGAAAGAAAGCGACGCATCAGCAACTTCCCCTTTCTCTCTGTGTTAAGTACTAAAGTGAGGAAGTGCCACCAACCACAGAGAGGACACTCACCGCCCAGTTACTGTAAAACCCTGCCCAGGCTATGACCACTTCCAAACACAATGTTTTTAGTGAATGGGCAATTCAGTGGCCAACAAAGCCAGTTTAGGCATCATTACTATTGTTATACAGTATGTGAATCAACATCAAGATATGCATACAGCAGCACTCTCAAAGTTCAGCGTTAGAGTGGCATAGTCATAATGAAAGCTGCAAATGGGGCTAAGTCTGTATCTTACACATCATGCATGCACAGCGTGTATGAACCAAGAGTGCAAATGCAACGCTTTCTGTCATCACTGCCTCAACCTTGATGATGGTAAGTAGAACACCCAAGACCTAGAAAAAGCCTAGTTTAAGTATATGGAAAGCAAAAGTCTGAACTACTGTCAGAAGGCTTAGAATGCATATTCAACGCAATCGAATCAAGGCAAGGGATTAGCAGGGATTAGTTGCAGCAAGTTAAGTGTGGCCAAGCTCTACTTATGAAATGGAAACTACATGGAAGCTCTTTAGGATTGTCAATTTACAGCTTCTTCTCAACATATTTAAACTGACTTAGATTTCCTTTAGCTCAATCTGAAGGAACATGAACCCCCTTTTGATGCAATAATGCATGTAGCTACAGAACACGGTGGGATGATATCCAGATGACAGATTAAAATTAGAGAACTACAGTTAACGAGGTGAGAAAGGAGTTGTAATAAAATCTAAACACTCAAAATAACCAGCTGAAATTGATGCTTGTAGCCCATCATTTCAAAAGTGGGCTAACTGACAAAGTAGCTAAATGACAGTAGCTTCAGACTAGCTTCATTTTGGCCCCGTTCATGCTTGGCATTAACATGTATCCTGGGTGATCTAAGACTCGACGGTGCTGTAGCACGCAAACCATTTCACCTGGCACCTGCAATCATACCTCGTTGAAATATATTAAAATCCTGCTGCTTGCCCATTCACCCCCACATACAAAATTCATGTCTCACTCATGTGAGGCCTGCTTGCAGCAGAAATGGATTTAGTGGATGAAATTGGTAAATTTTAAGAACAGTGCAAGCATCCCTAATGTTCCATACACTCTATGGACAGACTGCTTTAAGGGCTCCAGAGCTCACAGTACTGTTCATAGTCCACTAATACATAAACAAACACCCAAACTGTATTGTTTTCCATTTGTAGCTTGTTCCATCAACTTCTATAAGGTTGGTTGTTGCACAGCTCACTTGTTAGTTGTATATCCCTTTTCTACTTTGGCATTACATGCGAGCAGGCAGTTGCCATGAGTTTAAGCCACATGTGTCAGACTCCAGTCCTCACAGGCCACAGCACTGCAGACTCTGGCATTATGCCTCATTAGACACACCTAAGTCAACTGATCAGCTAACTGGCAAAGCCTTCATGGACTGAATTTAGAGCTGTAAGATGAGGGAAAACAAGAATCTCCACAGAGCTGTGGCTGGGAAGGAACTTTGACATGCAGGTATGGCCTGTAGCATTATCATCTGTTCATGGCACCAGCTACCCCTGGCAACCAGTCTATCCTTCCACTCCAGTCACAACCACTGTTTTGTGTGACAATGCCTATGACGTAGCATCTGGGCTAAGTGAATCTAAAGGGGCTAGAGGGAAGACATGCAACAGAACTCTCCAGGCAGTCTTGCGAATCACATTGAAAAGTCTTAGTGAGGAGTGAAAATGCTGTCTATTCAAGCAAGAAGAATGAAGAAATCATACAAAGAAGGAGCTGTAACAATTCTGCAATGAGTGGAAGAGAGCCTTTCAGATTTGGCAGAACACTGGGGCTGACTGAGTCAGCCTCTGACTTTTCCACTGCTCCACTTCACCCACACACCGTACAGACATTGCATAGCCCCATGCTTCACTTGATATCTCAGCAATAAACTAAGTTAAAAAGATGTTTTCCTCCTTGGCACTATAATAATCACTATAATAAACTCATCCATCTATATGGGTCAGAACCACTACATGTCAAAATAGTCAATAAAGATAACTAAACTGTTGAGTTTATTAAATGAAATTGTTGAGATGACCAATGTTGACCTGTCATTTTCTATGTAACAACAATACCTTTTAGTAGTATTTTACATAGCAAATTCAATTCAAATCATACAGGATTGCACGTCAAATACGTTGTAGCAATGTCAACTGCTATCGAGACTTGAAAAGTGCAGAAAAATTAAGCATTAAGGAATGTGTTCAATTACAAACAATTTACGGTATCACTTTAGAAATCAGTCAAATGTTGCTGCAAAACAGATTTGAATTTATTTCAACATGTGAACTTTTTGATTTGATGACATTTGGTTAGCTGTGCTCTGCTGATCAGGTCTTGAATCATTGATTCATATCTGAATGAATTCCTTTGCTTTTAACCAAAAATGCAAAATTCACATCGAAAATCGTTAATTACCGGAACTCTTGGTTGGACATACCTGCAGAAAAGATGCAGGTCATGGGTCCCTGTTGCCAATGCAATGCTAATAGTAAGGTTTTGAAGTTTCATTCAAAGCTGTTCGGAGGTCATGCATACAGAACAAAAGGCATGCTTGTAAAGTCTTTCCATAAAGGTAGTAGTGTCCAAGACTAATTACTAAAAACCAACTCAGAGTGAACATAAAAGCAGTAATCTATTGCTACATAAACCCTTATTAAAAAAAACGTGGCATCAATCAAGCCAGGATTAACTGGGTCAATTACTGTGTGCTCTTTAACATGCTGGAATGAAAATGATGCTGAAAACTAAATTTAAAATAAAAACGGAACTGCAACACTGACCAAGGTCTTTTTCAATGACGAAGTTTTGTTGCCGCATTTGATTTAAGTGGGAAGTTGGAGTTTGGAATTACATTCTTTTCGAACTCTTCATGTTTAAGATGCAAAGTGGGATTAAACAGGGAACAGCAACAAGTTATCCAGCTGATAGGAGTGATAGGAGTGACAACTTTAATGTTCATGATGTAGTTTTACGATGTATTTTAATCGACTACTTAGTCTCATATCTCATATAAACGCTGATCCCACCATCAACAATAACAAAGTACTACTTCTGTATGTTTGAATTGATTTGACCTTATCTGCTGAGTTATGGACACCATCCCAACTTTTCGAGCAGAAATTCCCATGTAAGGGGAGTGTTTTCTTTGGTTTTCTCTAGTCAGTTGTTATCAGTGGATCTTAGCAAAATGCAGAGTTGCAAGCTTGTGTTTTTTTCTCAAGTTTAAATTACCAACTGGTTAATAAAGACATCAAACAAATCAGAGCCCAACAGATATACTGGATGGCTGATGATATCAGTCGATACTCACTACCTGTGTTTTATCGGTATGAAATGGCGATCCCCAGTGATACATTAAAACTATAGACAGCTGGTCCACTGGTAAATCCAATATGAATTGGATATTGTAGTTTAACTATATCACAGCAATACAGCTGATCTAGAATGCAACCACAAAGTTAACCGTTAGCATGAGAATAACAAAATTCTACTTTATAGTTCTAACAAAGACAAAACTTTTGTCATTAAGAGATCTAATAAAAAATAAGAAAACTAAGAAATAATAACAAACTGAAACAGCAAAGAATTCTGAGTAGCTACACCCCCAGTGCTACAGTATTTATATTATTTAAGACTCTGCGTTTTTGTTGTTTATTTAAGTTAAAAGGAGTGACTAATCACAAACAGACAATCATATCTGTGAGCAAAGCACTCTTTAACTAATAGAGCATAAAAATATTATGAAAAAAAATAATATAAATATAAATATGACATTAACAGACATTATCAGAACTTTTAGCTTCTTAGAATAGGTATCTGTAATTGCCGCAAAAAAATTCATACTGGTCAGGCCCAAATCTTAACTTTTCTAAACATGGTACAACTATTTGTGTAACACCAAACAGTCTGGTATCTGTGATATCTGTGACTTTGATACTGCGTTCCACATTTTCAGCAGCAGCCATTCAGAAAACATGGCAACACATAAAGTAGCAAATTTCTATTAAAAAAACACTGGCTATTAAAAAAACATTGGCTATTTTATCACAGCTTATTAAACCTTATTACTGAATATTTTGGATGCATGCATGTGGGCAGATGCAACACATGTTAAGTTTTCCTCTTACTGTCCCATCAGAAGATCTTGATTTCAGTTATGAACTCCGCCCAGTGTCTAACTGAGGCAGCTGGCAGTAAAAATCAAGTCCTCCCATGGAAGGGGTGTGGCCTATGCCTGTATGTGCTGACTGGATCATATTTACTACAGTCTTAATTCTTCCTGTTTAAGTGCCTTATGCTTTCTTTGCTTTAACAGTTAATGCAATGATGTCCAAGACACATTAGTATGCCCTTTCATTTTATAAACATGTATTTCAGTGGGACTATTACTATTGCTTATGGTTCTGGAGCAAAAAGGATACCCAGCCTTGTCCTACGTTGTGCTGCTCTCAAGCACAAAATGATTTATTTTTGCATATTGCATAAACAAAACAGGCAAATAATAAAAAATATAAAAATTATATTATGTGGTAGATTTCAAGACCAAAACACAAATGTTCCGTGACTCGGTACCAAATCTTACCAGCAACTCTTGAGATGTGATGGAGTTGTCTGTGTAAAGACAGAGTTTCTTTGCAGATAATGGCTGACAGGACTTCAACTTGGATGCCAGGAAGAGGCACACGGCCCCCAAGAGCTGCAAAAAGCACTTCTTCGTTGGCACTGCCGCAAGAAACCTGTCCAGGTAGTTGATAGCCAAAGGGAAAACGTCTTCATCACACTTCTCTTCCTCGCAAACCTTTAGAAAAGAGAAATGAGGTCTGTCAAAGAGTGCTAAATGCCAGCGAAATTCATTACGATACATTAACAAGCCCCAGTAACCTAAAAACAAAACGTTTTTCGTTGGAACTCACGTTTGCAAAATGGTTTTCCGATTAAAAAAACTCTCAGTTGAAGAATATAACTTACATTCATTCATTTATGACTCAAAATAGGAAGTTATGCAGCCGCATAAGACCGCAGGGCCGCCCACACAGCAGAACTGCTTTAGTGATTCGTCACGTTTTTTAAAAAATATATATATTTAACATTTAAAAAAGAGAATGACAACTTCTGAGTTTTAGCTATATACTTCGTTGTACAGGAATCAGCTAAGATTTTGGTTAGTGAAACACTTGTCAGTTTAAGTAGGAAGTTTGTGCTAGTCTGGATGTGCAACTGCTAGTTAGCAACTCAAATGGGCTAATAATGATTTAAAAAAATTACAATAATTATTCAGTACATAGAAAATACATGAATCTTGCATGTAAATAAAGCTCAGAGGCTCCTCTTTTCGACTATTATCGAACCGAAGAAAAACAGTAGAGAGTGGAGACATGAAGCTTCATGATCTTATGTAGCTTATATTTGATGATGAGCTAACTGACTGACTGCAGCTCCACTAACCTCCACAGCCTCTTCAGCTCCTTTTACAAACTAAACAACTCTCACAGTTTCACCTCATTGTCCTTCTTTATGCAGTATACTGTAAGGCCTTTCCATTTTTAATCCCTGTTATGACCGTCATGAATAATATAAAACAGTTTTTCTCTGAGGCTCCCAAAGCTGGAGAGCTTATGTTAAAAACAAGGTTTGATACTCTGCAGGTCCAGTTGTCTTCAAAGTTTTATGAACTGGAATATTCAGTCTTTCGTTACTGGTTATCCACTTCATAACCTAACCCAAAATGGCACAGAAATGAAACATGACAGAAACTACAACTGTCTTTCGGTTATAATAATGTTCCTTCTCATTTTGTGAACAGCGGATGCCTGAGTTCAAGTAAAAAGTCTCAGAGGAACTACAGAGTGACAAGAATCGCAGAAGGGAGCAACAAACCTCCAACATCCAAGTTGCAACCATCCGCCTCATGTACGGCTGAATGTCCTTCTGCACCCGTGTAAAATAAAGGCCCTGGGGTAGAAACTTATCTTCTACTGTCAGCAGGCTCTGTAGCACTCTGTCATCGCAGAGAATGCTGGGGTCTCGCGTCGCTCTGATGGTCGTTTCTTTTTCTTGGCAAAACAGTTCCATACTGAGACTTCTCCACTTCTCCACTCAGCAGCCTGCACAGGTTCTCAGAGGGACCGTGGCATGAGGCGGTGAGAGCGAAGGAAGTGCAGGGTCTGCGCAGCGCTCTGCTGCCTCGCCTCGCCTCGCCTCTCTGCGTCTCTCCGCTCCGCTCCGCTCTACCTCATCACTCTCCGCGCGGCACTTCTCCCTCCGCCGCGAGAGCAGTGACGCAGACGCAGCAGCACCCCGCGCGCACGTACAGATCCGCCACGAGCCAAGAAACCCAAACAGCTGGAAATAGAGGCGGGTCTAAAACAATTAGGCCACACCCCTTCGACTTCTTACACTTCTTAGCTGGCGGGGGTCTACTGAGGTCGACCAGCAGGCCGCACTGAACAGAGTGACCTTTCACTCCTTCCTTGAAAAAAAAATTGCACAGAAAAAGCAGGTTACGTATCCTCCAGACTTTTGCGATCTTTAAACAAGCACCCGAACGGAGTCGTATTTACTAGTTAACAATCTGATACGTTCAGTTTTCCGATGAGCACCCGCACGCCACGTTTCTCTTTCTCGCGCTGAACTTCTTCTTGTAGCCCCGCCCCTCTGCTTATTATTGAAATAGGGGCGGAACCTCGCTCTTTTCTGTGTGACTTCAGTGTCTACGATGTTTAGCCAACTGCTGCGTTTAAACTCTCAGCACTACGTTGTTTTACGACCGTATCAGTACTCAGTTTTGGGAATGTAAAGTGTAACGCTTTTCTTATGTAACAACTTTGACGTGACACCTTAACGCTTGCTTTTTTGTTCAACATTTAACGAACAGGGCCTCTAACTAGCCTACAACTCTAAAACGCGAGGCCACTCTGCCCTTCTTTTATTGTTTTGACGGCGCACGCTGCAGAAAACCTTTTTAATTCCGTTCTTATCTAAACATTCCTGAATTTCTTAGGACACGCACGTGTAGCTATTCTCCAAATGTGAACATCCTTAAAGCAAATGCAGACATCAAGTTGTGTAGTCTACTCTGTATTTCGCCTTTACAGGTTCAGTGTACGGTCTCCCAATACAGACATTAGGCATGGCTGCTGAAAATATGCTCCACTTCCCCATCACGTGCAGAGGCACAATGCTTCACATGTAATACCACGTGTGGGAAAAGAGACCAGAGAACTGACACGATGCACGCCCTTACAGCCACTAAGAAATGCATCTAGATTAGGCTAAGTTTGCTGGTGCCATAAGGCTACAGTTAAATTTATCTGTTGAGCTTCCAGAGCAACATTTGTAGGATCTGGTAAATAATAAAACAGGTCAAAATGAAATTCAATGAATAGCATGTACTGAAACAGTAAAGTAAGACAGCCTCTATAATTCATTTGGACTACAGGGGCACGAGCAGGTTTCCATGTTGTCACATCTTGAAGGTTTTCTGGTTTGCAGAGTAAATAAATGTGGTATATGCATTGTCCTTCATTGTTACGGCTTCCAGCTGTTCTACAGATTGTGTTTCTTGTGTGTCTAATCTAATCTTATAGCATGTAACCTATACTCAAATCTATGATTATACCAGAAGTCCAGTTCCCCTGAGCGAATACTAGTCCTTTATCCCCCTCTTTTTCGTATACTGACAGCAAAAGTCTACATTCTTGACATCAGCAGAATGATTTTCTCAGTTCAGCATATGTTTCATGAGGAGTTGGCAGTGAATAAAGTGGCCTAGATACTATATGGTACGTGACAAGTACAAGTTAACAATATCAAGCAATGACAGATTTCAATGATTCAATGGATATTCAACTTCATGAATTATTCGGCAATCACAGAAAATTTGACACATATGAACACCAATAGGTGTTGAAACTGAAATCAAGAGGTTCTGAATTAACTAATAACAGTCTAAGGATTCCATATGTTGACTTAGCACATGCTTCTGTTTTATTTTAACAATGCCTTTAAAAGAGTAACACAAAAAGGTTGTGTTAAAGAAGAGCTGAAACTACACTACTATTCAAAAGTTTGGAGTGATCCTTGTGAGATGTTACTACTCGACAGATTCATAAGTTTCAATTTAGTTGAAAGGTGAGAGCTGTAAAAAGTGAAGAAATTTAATATGTGTCCATGTTTGTTCTGCTAAATTGCTCTGGGTTGATGTTCCAGTCCTACATATTACAAAGTCACAATGTAAACATTTTATTTATGCTCTCACTCTCATAACTACATAACTTACATATTCATTTCATAGTAATGAATAATTTATAGTAGTAGTCTTATGATTAAGAACTGAACAATATAAATGTGTACACCATTGAAGAATGGTTCTTCATGGGTTCTTCAAAGGCAGGGGTAAGAATGTACACTTTTAAAAAACATGGTTCTTCAAGGGTTCTTTAATAGAGCAAATGGTTCAATATTGAACCATGAACACTTAAAGAACCCTTTGCATGATTAAATGGGTTCTTTGCATTGAAAAAAAGAGTTCTTTAGACTGATGAAGAATACGCTGGTTCTACAAAGCACCAAAAAGGGTTTTTCTATTGTTACAAGATTGACATTGTCACAATAGAAGAACCATTTTGGGTGCTGTATAGAACCCTTTTCAAAAAGGTTGTATATCGAACCATCTACAGCACATTCTCCATCAAACCGAAGAACCCTTTTATGATGCAAAAGAAGCCTTGAAGAACCAAGGAAGTCATAGGATAAGGAAGTCATGGGTACATGTGCACACATACACTGAATACACAAACACTGAAATTAAAGCTCTCACGTGAAAAACACATGACAGTTCATAGAGTGTTCATAGAGTGTTCAGTGGGGCATTGACCCTGCTCAGCTCATAAAGAGAATTTCATTCAGAAAAAAAACAGATGCATCTTGTGAAGGAATTCACTCTCAAATAAGCTGACTCGACATCAGTTGAGTCATCATCAAAAAGGTCAGTGTTGGACAAACTGCTCAGCTGTGATTTTCACTTGTGCACATCTATACAGTACTATCCAGTAGTGGTCAGTGTGTCTCTGCAGGAAAAAAAGGGAACACTCTATTATGCCACCACACTAATGCTGCTTAACCCTCCATGATCAGTGCAGTCGAGTCGTGTTACTATGACACTTATGATCACACACAAAGACTAATTATTTCCTGGAAACACCGAACTAAGCTGCACTTGTTTTCATCAGCAGTGTGTGAATATCTGTGAGTGTTGTTGTTGTTGTTGTTCGTGTTTTATGATGACACGTCAACTCTTACCATGCTCTCCAGGTGACAGAAAGGTGAAAAGGAATGCTCTACAGCCTGGGAAAATGTGTAGAGGCGTGAAATCACCTTAATCACCTTAATCCAAAGATTCCTGCGGCATACCAGCTCACTTTGTCGGAACTGCCACACATGAGAGAGAGAGAGAGAGAGAGAGAAAGAAAGAGAAAACAGTATTACAGGAATGTTAAAATTAAGACACTCATGCCAATCATGTACTGGCCTACTGTCCTATTTTTTTAATGTGAGCCTTCATTGTTATTCATTCTTTCATGAACATTCACTAGCCTAGCACTGTATAAAATACGTACTTATGTTGGACACTTGACATAATATAGGCCTATCGGAAATACCTCAGAATAAGTGCAGTAAACATACACTTCACGACTGTGAGGCATTAGAGGCAACCGGCACAAATTATTTTAGAATTCATATAAGTTTAAGCCAGCATTGTGTGTTATAGTAGTTGTTGTTGTAGTTAGTGGTGTGTGTCTTTTCACCTGACTGAGGGATTATATTCCACTGGCAATAAACAACAATAATGTAACCAAAGCAGCTAAAGCTTTATAAGTTTTCCAAGCATATTTATGTCAAAACTTTGTAACTTTTTTACATTGTCTGAAAATGCCAGATGCCTTTTACATCATGCAAACACTTGATGAATGGACCAATAGAAATGGAATATAATTTCATAACATTAAGAATGTTTTTTTCCCTTCTCCTGTAGTTACCATTTTGGAGATACAAAGTGTTGATTCATTAAATTTCTTTCTCCAATTTAGTCATCGCCATTCTCTGCACTAGCTAAGGCTCCCTCCATCACACAGTGCTACTTAGTTGGAAGGGTGAAGGATAGCATATGCTTCCTCCAAGACATGTGAAGTGCCACCGCATCTTTGCTAACTGCCGCTAATGTGGCATCACTGCACAGCTCAACATACTTGGATTAGAACTGCTAATTTTGCTATGTCAGCTTACAGACACCTGTGTTGAGCTAGCATTGTACTAGTAGATGGGAGAGAGAGAGAGAGAGAGAGAGAGAGAGAGAGAGACCCAGATGTTCTCTGACATCACTGGGGTCAAACTTGCAATCTCTAGACGGTTGTGCCACTCAGGAGCACTATATATGAGGGTTTCTTACAGCGATGTCATGTTCCTTCAGGTACTGTTGTTCCAGAGCATGAGAGAAGCAACAAGAACTATTACTTATAATTTTACATAAAGCAAATCAAATGAAAAGGTCACCACTTCACAGTTTTAAATCACAGAGTATACTTTTCCTTTTAGAGCTGACAGTATAGAGTCAGCAGTTAAACTGTGTTAGGCTTTGTATGAATGGAATGCTACAGTCACTCAGTGGACTAATTTAGTTAAAGGCAAAGTAGAGTGGCAGGAAACCCAGGCTGCTGGAATTCTCACATGATTAGCAACTCAGTCATTTACTGCACTCTAGATATTATCATTTACAGTGGTGATGCCACAACTGAGCTCCTGAAGAACTACTATCCTATATAGCTTATAGTTCCAACCCTAACTGCTACCGAAAAAGATGATTAGCTGGATGTGATATTCACGTAAGACTGAAACTGAACTCTGCAGGAAGACAGATTTCCTAGAAGTAGGATCAGATCTTTATGTAGAAACAACCACCAAAATAAGTTATATCCAAATGCCTGCTTACATTCTTAGGTATCATGAACATCTAGTCTAGATAACAGTACAATTATGTTTTTTAAGCAGGCAATAGTGGTCTTAGCACAATACACACTATTAAACACAATATTGTTCTCAGCATAATTGAAAAAAGGTGCTCAAAAAGGTTCTTCAGAGTGATGCCAAAGAAGAACCACCTTTGGTTCCATCAGGAACTGTTCCATGGATTGTTTTATTTAAAAAATAAATAAAAAATTATTGTAAATGTTCTAGGGTCCTATACCAATTAAAGG